ACATGTGCTTCATATGTAGTCAGTGTGTGCATGTTGTGTGCATCATTCCCCTCCCCCGCTGCCACCTGCCCCCCCCCCCACTCCCGCCCCTCGTACCGCCAGGGTGCCGCGCCGGGAGATGGGTGCCGACCGGCGAGTCGGTCGTTCTCCTCTCCCTCCACGTCTCTCGCTCCGTCTCCCCCCTCCCTCGTTCTGTGTCGCTCTCCCCCTCCACGTCTCTCTCGATCTGTCACTTTCCCATTTTACTCTCACTCATTCCCTCACTCATTCCCTCGCTCACTCATTCTCTCACTCCTCTCTTACTCATTCCCTCACTCATTCCCTCACTCATTCCCTCGCTCACTCATTCTCTCACTCCTCTCTTACTCATTCCCTCACTCATTCCCTCACTCATTCCCTCACTCATTCTCTCACTCCTCTCTTACTCATTCCCTCACTCATTCTCTCACTCATTCTCTCACTCTCACTCCTCTCTCACTCATTCCCTCACTCTCACTCCTCTCTCACTCATTCCCTCGCTCATTCCCTCACTCTCACTCCTCTCTCACTCATTCCCTCACTCATTCCCTCACTCATTCCCTCACTCTCACTCATTCCCTCACTCTCACTCCTCTCTCACTCATTCTCTCACTTATTCCCTCACTCTCACTCCTCTCTCACTCATTCCCTCGCTCATTCCCTCACTCTCACTCCTCTCTCACTCATTCCCTCACTCATTCCCTCACTCATTCCCTCACTCTCACTCATTCCCTCACTCTCACTCCTCTCTCACTCATTCCCTCACTCTCACTCCTCTCTCACTCATTCTCTCACTCATTCCCTCACTCTCACTCCTCTCTCACTCATTCTCTCACTTATTCCCTCACTCTCACTCATTCTCTCACTCATTCCCTCACTCTCACTCCTCTCTCACTCATTCCCTCTCTCACTCATTCCCTCACTCTCACTCCTCTCTCACTCATTCTCTCACTTATTCCCTCACTCTCACTCCTCTCTCACTCATTCTCTCACTCATTCCCTCACTCTCACTCATTCTCTCACTCATTCCCTCGCTCATTCCCTCACTCTCACTCATTCTCTCACTCATTCCCTCACTCTCACTCCTCTCTCACTCATTCCCTCTCTCACTCATTCCCTCACTCTCACTCCTCTCTCACTCATTCTCTCACTTATTCCCTCACTCTCACTCCTCTCTCACTCATTCCCTCACTCTCACTCCTCTCTCACTCATTCTCTCACTCATTCCCTCTCTCACTCATTCCCTCACTCTCACTCCTCTCTCACTCATTCCCTCTCTCACTCATTCCCTCACTCTCACTCCTCTCTCACTCATTCTCTCACTTATTCCCTCACTCTCACTCCTCTCTCACTCATTCCCTCACTCATTCCCTCACTCTCACTCCTCTCTCACTCATTCTCTCACTCATTCCCTCACTCTCACTCCTCTCTCACTCATTCTCTCACTTATTCCCTCTCTCACTCCTCTCTCACTCATTCCCTCACTCTCACTCCTCTCTCACTCATTCTCTCACTCATTCCCTCTCTCACTCATTCCCTCACTCTCACTCCTCTCTCACTCATTCTCTCACTCATTCCCTCTCTCACTCATTCCCTCACTCTCACTCCTCTCTCACTCATTCTCTCACTCATTCCCTCTCTCACTCATTCTCTCACTCATTCCCTCTCTCACTCATTCCCTCACTCTCACTCCTCTCTCACTCATTCTCTCACTCATTCCCTCTCTCACTCATTCTCTCACTCATTCCCTCACTCTCACTCCTCTCTCACTCATTCTCTCACTCATTCCCTCTCTCACTCATTCCCTCACTCTCACTCCTCTCTCACTCATTCTCCCACTCATTCCCTCTCTCACTCATTCTCTCACTCATTCCCTCTCTCACTCATTCCCTCACTCTCACTCCTCTCTCACTCATTCTCTCACTCATTCCCTCTCTCACTCCTCTCTCACTCATTCCCTCACTCTCACTCCTCTCTCACTCATTCTCTCACTCATTCCCTCTCTCACTCATTCCCTCACTCTCACTCCTCTCTCACTCATTCTCTCACTCATTCCCTCTCTCACTCATTCCCTCACTCTCACTCCTCTCTCACTCATTCTCTCACTCATTCCCTCTCTCACTCATTCTCTCACTCATTCCCTCTCTCACTCATTCCCTCACTCTCACTCCTCTCTCACTCATTCTCTCACTCATTCCCTCTCTCACTCCTCTCTCACTCATTCCCTCACTCTCACTCCTCTCTCACTCATTCTCTCACTCATTCCCTCTCTCACTCATTCCCTCACTCTCACTCCTCTCTCACTCATTCTCTCACTCATTCCCTCTCTCACTCATTCCCTCACTCTCACTCCTCTCTCACTCATTCTCTCACTCATTCCCTCACTCTCACTCCTCTCTCACTCATTCTCTCACTTATTCCCTCACTCTCACTCCTCTCTCACTCATTCTCTCACTTATTCCCTCACTCTCACTCCTCTCTCACTCATTCCCTCACTCTCACTCCTCTCTCACTCATTCTCTCACTCATTCCCTCTCTCACTCATTCCCTCACTCTCACTCCTCTCTCACTCATTCTCTCACTCATTCCCTCTCTCACTCATTCTCTCACTCATTCCCTCTCTCACTCATTCCCTCACTCTCATTCACTTTCTTTTCCCCTTCTCTAATCGCTCTCACTCTCTCCCTCACTCTCTCGTAATCTCCCTCGCCCTGCACTCTCTCCCTTCGTGTCTCCAGAACCCCCCTCCCTCGCCCCCTCCCTCCACCTCTCTCTCTCACTCTCCACCTCCACCTCTCTCTCTCACTCTCCACCTCCACCTCTCTCTCTCACTCTCCACCTCCACCTCTCTCTCTCACTCTCCACCTCCACCTCTCTCTCTCACTCTCCACCTCCACCTCTCTCTCTCACTCTCCACCTCCACCTCTCTCTCTCACTCTCCACCTCCACCTCTCTCTCTCACTCTCCACCTCCACCTCTCTCTCTCACTCTCGCTCCCCATCTCGCCATCTGTCCGTCGCTCTCACTCTTCGTGACGATCGCTCCGTATCGATAAGTCTGTGCCTCTCCCTCCCTCTCTCCTCACCTCTCCCCCTCTCGCCCTCCACGTCTCTCTCCCTCTCTCTCCCTCTCTCTCTCTCCCTCGCCCTCTGTCCATCGCCCTCACTCTTCGTGACAATCTCTCCACATCTATAGCCCCGTGCGTCTCCCTCCTCCTCACCCCCCCACCCCACTCCCTCCATCTCCCTGGCTACGTCTCTCTCGCTCTCTCGAATCGATGCTGCTTTGTCGATGGGTTTTGCTCAGAAAATATCGACTTCAATCGGGAAGGGCCCCCCCTCTCTCCCCTCCCCCATGGATCAATGCCCCCCCTACCCACCCACATCACCCCCCCCCCCCCCGACCTGCCCCGCACCCACGGTCCACGCGACAACCACCGCGGTGCCCAGAGAGGGCGCTCCTCGGGTCGAGCGGCTGTCCCCCTACAACATCTGTCTGGGTTCTTCACGCGCTCGCAATGCCGCGGTGTCCACCTCGAGTGATGGGGTGGGTGAGTGGGTGGGTGTCCACCCACCCACCCACTCACCTGGGCGTGCCGCGCTGCTCCTTGTCCACCCACGCGCGCGGCCCGGGCGGGTGTCCACGCGGCGGGGAGCGCAGCCCGCGGGGCGAGCATCTGGGCCCGTGCATCAGCAGCAGCAGCGCGGCATCGATTCGAGCTCCGCGCGCCCTAATCCGCGTCTGCTGCTGCTGATGACAATGCTGCTGTTGATGATGCTGCTGCTGATGACGATGCTGCTGCTGCTGATGATAAAGCTGCTGCTGTTGCTGCTGCTGATGCTGCTGCTGATGACGATGCTGCTGCTGCTGACAAAGCTGCTGCTGCTGCTGCTGATGATGATGATGCTGCTGATGATGCTGCTGATGATGATGATGCTGCTGTTGATGACGATGCTACTGATGACAAAGCTGCTGCTGATGATGATGGTGTTGCTGCTGTTTCTGATGATTCTGGATCCTGCTGCTGATGCCGATGACGATGCTGCTGATGCTGATGGTGCTGCTGATGATGCTACTGATGCCGCTGATGACAAAGCTGCTGCTGATGATGCTGTTGATGACAAAGCTGCTGCTAATGAAGCTGCTGTTTCTGATGATGATGATCCTGTTGATGATGCTGATGATGATGATGCCAATGAAGAAAAACCAGGACAGTCCGCTCTTCTCAGAGCTCAAAGAAGGGAGATATTCACCTCTGAGTGAGACTCCACCTCCGGTCGAGTTACCAATGAACGAAGTTCCGTCTTGCCGAGGACATCAATCGCCCCGATCGGCGCCGCTCTCAGCAGCTTCAGCGGGTCGAGCCTCGTCAGTTGATGGGTGACCAACTCCGCCGGGAGGTGCTGCGTGTCGCCCCCTCGCGTGCGGCAGCGGCAGCAGCAGCGCTGGGGTATTCTCCGGGGTCTCGGGTCTCCTCCGAACCTCACGGAGGTGAACCCCTCGCCTCTCGGGGAACGCATGGCCCCACGTCCCAGCACAGCGCCAGCGGCAGAACCCTCCTGGCAAGGTCTCCTGAGACTCAACGAGGATTTTTTCTTGGGTTAAATAACTGTCCAGGGCGTTGTCATTCATAGCTGTGTGATAGTCATTTATTGGTATTTATAGTGGGGGTTAACCCCCCCGATCCCCCCCCCATCCACCCCACCCCTCACCCATGACCCCGTGAGCAACGCAGTAGACGAGCAGGTAGCTGGCCCCCTCCTCCTCGTGGCTGTGTGCGTGTTCCCACACAACGCACGGGCTCGCACGCTGCCGATCGGGTCACACGCGGACCGGTTTCAACATTCAGCGTCTCATCGGCAGTCAGAGGCCTGCTACCCTTTAGGACGAGTGGGGGGTCCAATGGAGGGGGTGGGGGGTTGAGGGTCTTGTGGGGGGAGAGAGGGGAGGGGGGGCTCCTCTAGAGGGAGGGGGTGGTTGGGGGTCCTGTGTGGGGGGTGAGAGGGGAGGGGTGGTTGTGGTGCGGGGGATGGGGAAGCCGATCCGCGCGATTGAATTTGCGAGCGCGGTGACGTCACGGCGGCGGAGCGCGCGGGGGTCTCAGTGCCCGCGATGAGCGAGGGCGGCGCGCATCGCCCTCCCCGCGCCCTCCCCGCGCTCCTCTCCCCGCGCCCCTCTCCCCGCACTCTCGCAAGCACTGCCGCCGCCGCCGCGCTCTCCCCTCATCGCTCTCCATCATGGATGTTTACCAACAAGAATAATAACAACAGTCACAGACAGGACTGGTAGGGCACAGCAGCAGCAACAGCAGGAGGAGGAGGAGGGATGAACCCCGAGATTCTCATCGATGCCATGGGCGACATCCACCACGAGCAGACGCAGCCCGGAGCGCTGATGAGCGCCGCGCACAGCCCTCACCACCGCCACCCGCAGCAGCAGCAGCCGCCCTCGTACGAGCTGCCCGCCCCGGGCCGCGCCTCCATGGTGCCCGGCATGGTGGCCTCGATGCTGGACGGGAGCGACTACCGCGGGGAGCACGGACTGCACGCGGCCATCTCCATGGGCTGCGAGTCCCCGCCCGGCGTCGGCTTGAGCGGCGGCGGCGGCGGCGGGGGGGGCGGGGGGGGCGGGGGGGGCACCTACGCGACGCTGACCCCGCTGCAGCCTCTCCCACCCATCTCGACCGTGTCGGACAAATTCCACCACCACCACCATCACCACCAGCAGCACCAGCAGCACCACCAGCAGCAGCAGCAGCAGCAGCGGCTGGCGCACAACCTCAGCGGGTCGTTCACGCTCATGCGCGACGACCGGACCCCGCTGCCGGCCTCCGTCAGCAGCATCTACGGCCACTACCACAAGGAGATGGCGGCCATGGGACCGGCTCTGCCGCCGCCGCCGCCGCTCGCCTGCTCGGGCCTCGGCAACGGCCTCGCGGCCATGCACGCGGCCCAGCACGCGGCCCAGCAGCCGCCGTCGGCCTACGGGCACCCGCCGGGCGCGGCGCTGTGCGCGGGGGACAAGGTGCTCGGAGGCTTCGATGGCCACGCGGCCATGCTGAGCCGCGCGGATCAGTCGCTGGGACGCGGTCTCGCATCTCCCGCCGCGGGGATGATGTCCCTGAACGGGATGCAAACTCACCCTCACCACCCGCACCCTCACCACCACCACCACCACCCGCACCATCCTCACCACCACCCTCACCACCACCACCATCACCACCACCACGGGGCCATGCTGGCCGCCAGAGGCGGGCTGGGGGACCGCGGAATCATGGGCGGTGGAGGCCACATGGGAGGTGGAGGCGGCGGCGGTGGAGGTGGTGGTGGAGGTGGTGGTGGAAGCCATCATGGTGGACAGGCGGAGGAGATCAACACGAGGGAGGTGGCGCAACGGATCAGCACGGAGCTGAAGCGCTACAGCATCCCGCAGGCTGTGTTCGCGCAGCGCGTGCTGTGCCGCTCGCAAGGGACGCTGTCCGACCTGCTGCGCAACCCGAAGCCGTGGAGCAAACTCAAGTCGGGCCGCGAGACGTTCCGGCGCATGTGGAAGTGGCTCCAGGAGCCCGAGTTCCAGAGGATGTCGGCGCTCAGACTGGCGGGTGAGGAGGGACGCAAGTGCGTGCGTGTGTGTGCGTGTGTGTGTGAGCAGCACACCTCTGTGTGTGTGTGTAGACCGGTGTGTGTGTGTGAGCAGCAAACCTGTGTGTGTAGACCTGTGTGTGTGTGTGAGCAGCACACCTGCGTGTTTGTGTGTGAGCAGCACACCTGTGTGTGTGTAGACCTGTGTGTGTGTGTGAGCATCACCCCTGTGTGTAGACCTGTGTGTGTGTGTGTAGACCTGTGTGTGTGTGAGCAGCACACCTGCGTGTTTGTGTGTGAGCAGCACACCTGTGTGTGTGTAGACCTTTGTGTGTGTGGGTAGACCTGTGTGTGTGTGACCAGCACACCTGTGTGTGGGAAGACCTGTGTGTGTGTGTGAGCAGCACACCTGTGTGTGTGTGTGAGCAGCACACCTGTGTGTGTGTGTGAGCAGCACACCTGTGTGTGTGTGTGTGAGCAGCACACCTGTGTGTGTGTGTGAGCAGCACACCTGTGTGTGTGCAGACCTGTGTGTGTGTGCGGCGTGAGAGAGCAGAGATATATAGATGTGCATGAGATGAAGTGTGTGTATGTGTGTGTCTGTGAGGAGCGGCCGTGTAGCGGTTAGCATGCTGCGCTTCGAACGCGACGATTATCTGAACCGGTCCTGGGCATCCCCTAGGTCGACTCAGCATCAAATGAGTACCTGGTGCAGTGTGTAAACATTGCCAGGAGGGAGACAAAGGCGGCCGGACGTGGTGCTGGCCACCCACCCCATCGTGTGTCGTGTCGGCCTTCATAGGTGCTCGCTAACAGCACTTGCCCCGACAGTCTGTTAAGGCTATACGGGGGATCTGTGTGTAGACCTGTGTGTGTCTGTGTGAGCAGATCTGTGTATGTGTGGGAGATCAAGTGTGTGTGTGAGCAAGTGTTTGCGTGTGCAAGTGAGTGTGTATATATATACGTGCTAACAGCACTTGTCCCAAAAGTATGCTAAGATTATATGAGGATCTTTGTCTTTGTGGAGATGTGTGTGTGTGCGTGTCTCTGTACACGTGTGTGTGTGTGTGAGCGAGTGTATGTGGCCTTCATAGGTGCTCGTTAACAGCACTTGCCCCAAAAGTCCGATAAGGCTATACGGGGGATCTTTGTCTTTCCGCGCGTGTCTATGTATATGTGAGCATTTGTTTGTGTGTGTGTGTTCATGCCTATGGGGAGCGGTAGTGTAGCGGTTACAGCGCTGCGCTACCAATCTGGCTTCCCAAGTTTGATTACCCGCTCACGGCCAACACCAGTGACGATTATCTGAACCGGTCTTGGGCCTCCTCCAGGTCGACTCAACCTGAAATGAATACCTGGTGCGATGTGTAAACGTCGTCACTCGGGAGACAAAGGCGGCCGGGCGTGGTGCTGGCCACCCCCCCCCCCCCTCGTGTGCCGCGTCGACTTTCATAAGGGCTACTTCGCTCAAGGCACTTGCCTCAAAAAGTGTGTTAAGGAAACACGAGGAACCTTTGTCTTTGCCTTCATACGAACACTCATGCGTCGTAGAGTTGTGTGCCGAGCATGGACCCATACCCGCCAGAGAGGGTCCGTGTCAAGAATTCAACCCTCTGGGCACTTCGTCTGACTCTGCCGCTCATGAGACGCGGCGCGCAGACGTTGCCGCTGTGTGGGACCACCAATGCGGCTGCGTTGGTGGCGCTCTCACGAGCAGAGCCGCGTGGCTGATGGCGTGAGTGGACGACGCTCGTGTTCTCTATGGGGAGGGCCGGGCCTACCGAGAGAGGAGCTCGCTAATAGCACCCCCACCACGAAGGCGGGCGGGCGGGTGGGCAACACCATGCCCGACCGCCTTTGTCTCCCCAGGGCTGGTGATCATGAAGCTCAGTCGACGTTCGAGGAGGCGCGGAAATGGTTCTGATGGTCGCCGCCAAGTCGCAACTCCTGTGGTCGCGAGTGAACGAGTGGAAGAATGGAAGTTTTTGCGATGTATTGCATGGGTGAATTAAATGTCCGCGATTGGTTGAGTAAATGAATGACAGTGCTGCTTTAATGAGTGAATGAATGAAAATGCCGCGAATGAATGAGTAAATTAATTAAAATATCTAAATTTAGTGAATGAAAATGCCACGATTGAATGAGTGAATACAAATAGTGCAGCGATTGAATAAGTGAGTGAATTAAGGTGATATGATTTAATGAGTGAATGGGGGAAAGGGCTGTGATTGAATGAATGTGAATGAAAATTCGGCGAATGAATTAATAATTAACCGCGATTAAAGCAGTGTGATGAGAAAAAAACTCTGCAATTTAATGAGTACGCAAATGAAGGAAAGTGTCGAGATTGAATTAGTACGTGCATGAATAAAAGTTCCGTTATTTGATGGGTAATTGAATGAAAGCATCCGCGGTTGAATGAGTGAATGCATTTAATTGCCGTGATTTCATGAGCGACAGTTCCGCGATTTACCGAGTGAATGAACGCAAGTCCGTGATTTGAATGAGTAAAAGAATGAAGAGTTACGTGATTGACACGAGTGAGAGTGTGAGGGGAGTCTCGCGGACGAGGTTCTGGCGCTAGGGCTGTGGCGTCAGGCCCGGCGGCGTTATAACGCGAGCGCTATCGTCGGGGGCTGTGGGGGGCGGGCGGGGGGGTTGTGACTGTCGCCGGGCCCGGCACGTGACCCGGGTTCGGGTTGGGCTCGAGTCGGGGCCCCGTGGGCTGCCCGCGGCACGAGGCCGAGCGGGAGCTGTCGAGACGGCGTCGCCTTCTCAGCGCTCGCGCTCACCCCGCGGGGTCGAGCGTGCGCGTGACGACGGTGAGGGGCGCTTGCAGGGCTGCGCCTGTGTCCCTGCAACCCCCAGCGGCTCCTCCTCCTCCTCCTCGTCTCTCAGGGTCACCCCGAGCTGCATCGATCGGTAAACGCGCCATGGCGCGGCCATTGTGTTCGGGCGCCGAGCACCCGCCTGTCGTACACAAAGACAAAGGTCCCCCCTATAGCCTCCAACAAACTGTCGGGGCAAGTGCTGTTAGCGAGCACCTATGAAGGAATCGAACTCGGGTAGCTCGGAGCTCGCAGCGCAGTGAACCACTGCGCGACCGCTCCCCATGCTGTCCTCACAGAGACAAAGACACGCGCACACTCGCACACGCACGCACACACACGCATAGACACACGCGCACACTCGCACGCACACTCGCACACGCGCACACGCACACACACGCACACACACGCATACACTCGCACGCACTCGCACGCACACACACGCACACACTCGCACACGCACACACTCGCACACACGCACACACACGCACACATACACTCCCACGCACACACACGCACAAACACGCACACACTCGCACGCACTCGCACGCACACACACGCACACACTCGCACACGCACACACTCGCACACACGCACACACTCGCACACGCACACACTCGCACACACGCACACACACGCACACATACACTGCCACGCACACACACGCACACACACGCACACACTCGCACGCACTCGCACGCACACACACGCACACACTCGCACACGCACACACTCGCACACACGCGCACACACGCACACACACGCACACATACACTCCCACGCACACACACGCACACACACGCACACACGCGCACACACACGCACACATACACTCGCACACACGCACCAACACGCACGCACTCGCACGCACACACTCTCACGCACACACTCGCACGCACACACGCGCGCGGGGAGTGGTGGCGCAGTGGTCGGTGCGCTGCGTCGTGAACCCATCTGTCCGAGTTAGATTCCTGACCGCGGCGATCATTCGTGGCGAGGGGCATCCGAAACCGACAACTCGACGCCGACTCGGTTCGGGTGCGAGCGGCATCCGAACCGATTCTTGAGGCATTCGTCAAACAACCGCCTGCGAGCGAGACGCTGCGTGCGGAGGCGTTCCGGCAGCAGTGGATTGACAACGGCCTTCGATTACGATCGAACAAATAAATAAACGCCACTGCGGTTGGAGCCTGAGCTGGAGAAATCAACAGCAAAATACGGAATATTCCTGAGTGCGGGCCGGGACCAGAGCGCCCTGGCGAACTCCAGCGGAGAGCTGCGCAATCAGTCCGTGCTGAGCGGCGGAGTCCGGCCAGAGGAAGCGAACACGACAACTGAGACCACCACCCGCGGCGACTCGAGACCCACGCCTGGAATGACTGCGACGGCGACAGAGAGAGATGTGAACGCCTAGGGCGGGCCACGTCGATGGTCGAGCGTGGTGACGGAATGGCAGCCACAGAGATGGAGGAGCGAACGCTCCCGACGGGACGTCACCAAGCGCGTGGAGATCAGCAACTGCAGCACCGCCGTCATCATCGTCATCTCCACCACCATCATCAGCACCACCACCGTCAGCAGCAGCACTATCATCATCATCGTCATCTCCACCACCATCATCAGCACCACCACCGTCAGCAGCAGCACTGTCATCATCATCGTCATCTCCACCACCATCATCAGCACCACCACCGTCAGCAGCAGCACTATCATCATCATCGTCATCTCCACCACCATCATCAGCACCACCACCATCAGCAGCAGCACTATCATCATCATCGTCATCTCCACCACCATCATCAGCACCACCACCGTCAGCAGCAGCACTATCATCATCATCGTCATCTCCACCACCATAATCAGCACCACCACCGTCAGCAGCAGCACCGCCGTCATCATCGTCATCTCCACCACCATCATCAGCACCAATACCGTCAGCAGCAGCACCGCCGTCATCATCGTCATCTCCACCACCATCATCAGCACCATCACCGTCAGCAGCAGCACCGCCGTCATCATCGTCATCTCCACCACCATCATCAGCACCACCACCGTCAGCAGCAGCACTATCATCATTATCAGCATCAACACCACCACCATAATCAGCACCACTCCCGGCCACCTTTGTCTCCCCAGTGGCGATGTTTACACACCACACCACGTAATCATTTGAGGCTGAGTCTACCTAGGGG